GTTGAATTAGTATCATTTTCAAACTTTTTACAGATACTATTCATTGAGTGATTTCTACTGATAATGCTCTCCACTGATAATTTGCGAACCCTAATGTTTTTCGGTTGAAGTAATTAGCAAGGATACTGTGAAAGCTCAGAGTCATTTTAAAATTTCAGCGCTATCCACATGAGAGAGACGATTTGAACTGTTTTAGGGTGAGACGGCAACAGATCGTGCTGATATTTACTCGTATGGCATATTGCTGTGGGAGTTGTTCGCGAGACGTGCACCATTCGAGGGTTTGCATCCGCATACACTCATTTATCTTGTGGTTAGTCGACATCTACGTCCGGACACTTCAGATTTTGAAACACAAGGTTAGCTGATGTTCACTTTTCTGAAAAATTTATCAACTATGCGAAGAACTTCAATATGCCTTGTTTGATTCGAGCAATACAGAACTGCCAATTTTCTTCTGTGCCCATAACTGAATACCGCGCGAACGAATCTGCAAAAGTCGCTTGGCAAAACTCATTGATGGAAACGTAGGCTAGGGCAAAGAGTGCTACTTCTCGATGTTCTTTTTCTCGTTGGGTTTAAGTTTGACACTGAAATGTATCTGAAGATTTGAGTGCCACTGATGGGTCACTGTTGGAGCTGATGAAGGAGTGTTGGTCATCGGAAGTGGCACGCAGACCGGCGGCATTCTCGATCGTCAACAAACTTCGTTCGACACTGTCCTCGCAAAATGTCGGCAACGATTCGTACATTGCCGAGAATGTGTAGCTGATTATACAGTGGTATGTCTCTGAAGTATTGAAACTTGTGAATAGCATTAACATAAACCATATTGCATGCAGTGATGTTTGAGTGGACTGCTGGAAGCTGATAATGAAAATATTAGAGGACGAGTTCATATGGAACTGACTGAATAAGTTCTATTGAGAACTACGAGCGTGAGGTTTCGTCGCTATAAGAAACTCAGTGAAAAAGGGGCCCCTTTGATGAAGGTGATCTGGAGGGTTTCGAGTAGACGAGCATTTGCACATTGACATTCTGTGGAACTTCCTTGAATAAATTTTTCGGTGTTCACGAATCTGCGAACGAAACATCAGTTTTGGATCGAAATGACACAAACAAAGGAGAATGTTTATGCTGAGCGCAATGACATGATATAAAAATCATGGATTGTCCACTTCTGCATCTGAATGCAGATTGATTCAAGAGAATGTTGTTTGCAGGAAATTAACGTTTCGGTTTGCTTGCTTTCCTGCTCAACATTCCACATGCGTCAATCAGTGCTTTTTTTTAGGTTCTATTCGTTGCTATGCACGGATGACCAAGCACGACAAACGGAAGCAGCCATAAATATCACCAACTCTGGACATGCTTAATAGCGGATATATTTGAAGCCGTTGAATGACGTCTGAAATGTGTCTTCCTTCGGCAATTTTTTTTCGCCGCTTCGATATTCTGATTCATTTGATCTCAAACTTATAATCATGTGAAATTCAAATGATTCAAACAAACAAATACTCAATTAGACAGTTTTCGTTTCTCACCTAACATTCCTTATTAATGTGAAAACATTCAAGTGTGCCTATTTGGGCGATCTTCTTTCTGTCTGTCTGCAAATGAAGAAGCATTCTGTAACATCCTAATCACCGAATGTCCTCACCCAGCCACCAATAGCATTTCATTGATGTGTTCTCATATATACACTTCAATTTTCAGCCTTACTGTATTCGTTTGCTGTTTGACCCGTGATGATCGCATTAATTTTTTAAAAATCCTACTGATTCGTATCATTCATTTTTCGTTTGCTTTTTATTCCACCTGCCTATCGATTCACTTCCTTGTCTACCTGTTCCAGACGCAAACAGCTTACGCATGAATTAAACATTCCCGATTAACTTTGTCGTCATCTTAAACTATGATTAAATCTGTCAAAAAAATGGCAGCTATATTCTTTCTACACTTTCATATAACTGCAGTGAATCACTTGAGCATTTCCTAGCGCTATTTGAAGGGCACCACAGATCTGGTTGGAATGCGGATTGATTCCAATTGATGTTTTGTAGGATATCGTTGCGTCGTCCGTTGCTGATGATCTTCAGTGATTTGTTGCTTTGCATAATATGATGATGGTGTTTGAATGTCTTCAAAATGTGCCTTGATTCATTACCTATACGATAGTTTCCTAACTAATTATTGAGGCGATTAATTTAACCTATTTGTGTATGCTACAGTTTTGCATTCGATTGTGTATCAGTGCTATCCTTCAAATAACTTTCGATTGTGTAATATAATTGTATTATCGTTGAACTACAACCAGAAATGCACTGAAGGCCATCGTTGAGCACAAAATTCTGCAGCGGCTGCTGCGGTCTAATAACTCTCCTTTAGATGCTTGAGAATGCAGTTTTGGAGTTCACGAAATGAGAGTTTATAATCATTCGTATGGAAAGAAATATCGTTATGAATTTACGACAACCCAAACCCAACAATCCATGAATCGTGACGTTAATCGAAACTCTTTTATGTGAATGCACATTTCTGGCTGTTCACCTTGCTCAGGCGCTTTTGCTTATTATATTCATATCATTTGTCTATTCGCTACTTTTATCTATGACAATAGAGCAATTCAGTGGAATCAATTTGTGTGTGTAGGATAGTTTCATCGTTAAAATTATTGATTGTGTAAAATTATCGATTGATTACTCAAATGATCACTTATGAAATAATTAATTACGCCTTGCTGATGATATGAATTCAAAACAGTGATAAAATTAAATGATAC